CAGATATATCATTAGCTGGTTTTTGTATTTCAGTTTTGTTATGTAGCATTTAAGATGTAATTGTTTCTAAATAAAGTTTTACTTGATATGGGCTACATTTCCAACCTATAAAAGTTATTTATCTAACTTATTTTCTTTTCATCAAATATGGACTTTTTCTTTAAAGATTTTGCTCCATTAAATGTTTGAAGATTTTTGTCAAGTCTGTTGTAAGTGAATAATAGCAGAATCAGATCATCCTCATCTAAACTGCTCTTAACTGTCTAAATCAGCGACAACTTTGTGGGGTTTTTGTTATTGTTGTTGTTTGTTTTATTTTTAAAGAAACATCTCTTTCAGAAAGAAGAAAGAGTGTGCCTAGTGGTGGTGGCAAATTTCTGTAGCAATGCTCTCCTTAGGTGGCACTAGTGATCCATGGGCTTCTTTCATAGAATGTTTTTCTCCCCAGATGATTCAAAGTTTAGAAGACCCGAAGTTTCTACAATTAATGCAATGAGCTCTTTAAATGAGTCTTTTTTCCTTTGACCTAAAAATATTTTTTTCTATTTAGACCTAAACTTCTATTTATGCACTTATCATGTAATAATCTAGATTTCAAATATCTAACTTAAGTTTCATTTTTTAACCTCTATTTTTTAAATATTTGAGATGGTCTCAGGAGAAAGCAGAAAGAAAGTCTTTGGCTTTATATTCCTAACTATGTCTAAAAATCCTCCTAGACTAATTTCCCCCTTTGTGCACTTGAATAATGGTGCTATTGAATGAGTCCTATTTGTTAATCACGGGACTGAGCATCTCATATGTACTAATTTAATCTTCAATAATGTGCCTTATATGTGTTAGACAATTTCAAAATCCATTTTTAAAATGAGGAAAATCATGTGTGGTCATCCTTGATAAAATATGAAGACAGAAGTTAAAGTCACAGCTGAACTCAAAAACAATTATTATCTCTGTGGCCAAGGAATGGAATTGAAATTCAAGAGACGAATTATAGGCTGGGCTGAGGCCTCTGGCCTTCTGGGCTTTGTAGAAGGACAGAGCAGGCCAGGACAGCTTCTTCCAGATAATGGGAGATCAGTGTTACCTTATACTGTGTGGGAGTCCAGAGCTAGCCTTGCTATTTGAAACCAGGGCATATAGCACTTGTCTGGGTCTAAGTGAAGGATGAAGTCTGCTGCCTCCTACTGTTTGAGACTGCCATTACTATGGTGCTCAGGGTTTAAGATGCCAGGAGTTGGCCAACAGGGCACTAACTAGGAACTGAACCAGACACTCACTGGTTAGTGATGGGGCTGTTAATAATCTGGATGTCAACACAATGTCATACTCAAACCACTGAGGCAAAGAGGTTACAGATGTATGATTCTGGGCACCAAATGGATACCAAAACCATTTTCAAGAGAAGGATGGCACTAGAGCCAATAATAGAACTGTATAAAAAAAATCTAAATAAAAATAAATGAAAGAAATTCTCATTTCAAGGGAACTTACAAACTGTGATTCCAAAGCACATGGAGAAACCTGACAGTAAGAAAGACAGCCAAAAAAACTGACCATTTATAATAAATACATCCTAGAAGAATTTGATAAATTGAAACAGCCTGGCAGAGTATATTATGGATGCTTAAAATGTAAACAAGGGAATGCCATCCATAAAGAAAGGCTGAAAGTCTTAAAACAAACAAAAATCAGTTATCTAATTATAGTTTACTTAGAAGTATTTCTTGAGATCATATACTCAATAATAGTATACTTCCACCATATTACAGGTGCTAGAGATACAGCAATAAACAAAACTAAATAAAATCAATATCCATGTAGGGGGTTTATAGTCTAGTAGGAAGTTTACCTTATAATAGCAGAAATAAAATAAGAACAGGTGGAAATCTTAGAAATGAAAAAAAAAAATCATTGGAATACAGTTTCTGATAGAAAGGATAAACTGCTTGACACAGAGATAAGAGTTACTGATCTCCCATTATCCTGAAGAAGCTGTCCTGGCCTGCTCTGTCCTTCTCCAGAGCCCAGAAGGCCAGAGGCCTCAGCCCAGCCTGTAACTCATCTCTTGCATTTCAATTCCATTCTTGGGCCACAGAGATAAGATAGATTCCAGAAGTTATTACAGAAAGATATTACAGAGGAAATCACCTAGACTGTAATAATGGGAAAATAAGATATTAAGAGAAAGAAAGTGTGGTGCATGTTGAAAGAGAAAGAGGGAGAGAGAGAATACCTGAGAATACGTGGACATGTGTCAAATGAAAGTTCCAGAAGAAGAAAACAGAAGCAATGGTGCAAAGATGAAACTGTGAGAGAGAGAACTGCTATTGCTTTAGAATTGAAGATGAGACCCCTCAAGGAAGTCAGAAATCTCAGAATGTCAGAAAGGACATTATGAGAACCTATTTGGATAAAGAAAAGTAAATCTATATCTGAACACTTTTTGGTTAAACTTTAGAGGATAAAAAGAAAACGTTAATAGAGAAAAAATAAACCACCTTTAAAGACCATTAGAATGAAAACAAATGCCAAGAGCAATATTGAGGGGGGAAATTTACAATGAATTTGGATTCTAGAATTTTCTGCCACAATATACCACAAGCAAACAATGACTGAGAATATGAATTAAATAATCAACTTAAAAAAATATTCTTGGGGAAGAAAGCCTACAAAGAATATGTGTGATTAAAAACCAAAAAAAAAAAAAAAAAAAAAAAACAGGAAAGAGGAGCAGAAACTCTAAGAAGTCATTAAATTTAATTCTTTATTTAAAAAGTAAAAACTAAAATCTGTGTAAAAACGTATAGACCAGTCGTGGCAGCTCACACCTGTAATCCCACTGGTTTAGGAAGCTGAGGCAAGAGGATCATGAGTCCAAAGTCAGCCTCAGAAATGTAACAAGGCCCTAAGCAACTCAGTGAGACCCTGTCTCTAAATTAAAATACAAAAGAGGGGTGAGGCTGTAGCTCAGTGGTTAAGTGTCCCTGCATTCACTCATCTCCAGTACCAAAGGAAAAAAAATGGTGTAAGACTACACACAAGTAAGAAATATGAGCAGGTAAATAGAGGAAACATAAATGGCTGACAATTATATACAAATTGGAAACAAACAAACAAAAAAACTTGTAATGAGGCTCCTTCCTTCTATTGCATTTTTCCTTCATTGCCTCCCAACTCCCTTAGATTAAGACCCAAACTCCTTAGCGGGGTACACTGTCTGTACCTCCTGAGTCACCAACTGGAGTTTTTATCCCTCTCACACAACCCAAGCTTTGCTTCCTTTTTTGATAACTGATTTCCTCTGGATTGTTGCTTTCCTGACACTGGGGAAAATCTTGAAAATTTTCTAATGACTCCTCAAACTCCTTGATTTCGCTCTTGATACAGTGACTGTAATAGGGACTTAATTTCCTGGCACTTGATGGTGCTCTGTGGCTCATGTCTTCCTAGCCATCTTTGGAGCCACACACTGCCTGGCTTTCCTGTAGTTCCCAGGCTCCTCACAGTGGATGTGCTCAGGGGCAAGGGGTGGCTGTGGGATTCCGGCTTAGAGTGTTACCTGTATCTTGAAATAAATCTCTTAGGAGTTCAGAATGGATTCTAATGAGCAACAGCTGACTTTGGATGCTGAATTGGTACAAATTCTTTTGAAGAAGAGTTGAATCTGTATTTTAGAGAGGAAGAAAATAATTCTAAATAAGAATGAACATAATTATTGTTTGAAAGGTACTCTAAAAGTTTCCTAATTTATATCTAAGATAAGATTCATCCATATTGCTTTATCTTAAAAAGACAAAATTAAGCAATACTACTAATAATAATGGGACTAGCAGTGTGTGTGTGTGTGTGTGTGTGTGTGTGTGTGTGTGTGTGGTATAGAGAGAGAGAGAGAGAGAGAGAGAGACACTGAAAAAGCAAGCACTGGGCATAGATTTCTCCCTCTTTGTTTTTGCCTGTTACTATCCATGTATTTGATAATAATTAGCCAATACTTGGAAATCTGAAAAGTGTTCAGAACTCCAATCTGATCAACATTTATTGGAATATCTAATATGACAACTCAAATATTATAGGACTTATTTTGTTATATTAATATTAAATTAATATTAAATATCACATTTTGGAAATTATTTTATATCAGCAAAAATTGCTAACCTAGTGGTTCATGTGAATGTATTTAGTGTTATTGAACTGTTCACTTAAAAATGGTAAGCTTTATGTTATGTGTATCTTTACCACAATTTAAAAAATAAATGCTAGGTCAAAACTTGAACACATCATCTTTATGGATCATTTCCTTACAATTTTTGTTGAGAATTGAGCCATAAGCAAAACAAAGCAAATACAGTAATAATTTTTTGGATTATTGCAGGCCACTAGGATGCAGTTTCATATTTTAGAATAGATATTATCCTATTGCATTCTGCTGATTAAAAAAAAAAGAGCCAGTGCATTCTCAAAATGCATAGCTTCCTATCTGAAGATAGCTTACTGATTAAAATATCAACTCAATATTCTGTTTAAAATTAGTTTTTATATTAGTTTCATAATCTGACATTTTCACAGTAAATATTCTTCAGTAGTCACAACATACGTCTTCAACTTTCATAATAATATTATTATAAATATTAAAAAGCACTCACTCTGTTTTAGGTACTGTTCTAAGCCTTTTCCCACATTATCTCGTTTACTCTTCTTGGCAGTTACAAAGTAGAAGCTGACACTATTCCCAAATTACAAATGAGGAAACTGAGCAAAGACAATTATCTGAGGCCACACAATATGTAATAGAGCTGATGGTAGCTTTAATTGCCCTGCAATGGATAAATGAGGACTTTTGTGCAACCCCATTCACCCTAGGTTCAATGCTTTATTCTCTTTTTTTAAAAGGAAGTCAACAAAAGTTGAACATCCTGATGCATTTTACGTTTTTTTTCTACCAGTCAACCATGATTTCTTTCTTTTTTTTTTTTTTTTTTGGATTCTGACAGGGCATTCTATTTGGACAAATCAAATTCACCACCAAACTCCACATCCAAAGCTGCCTATGTAGATAAGGTAAGAATAGATAATTATATTTATCACTGCCTTGTTATTCCTAGACCTTCCTTACTCAGCTTTTCTGCTCTTCTTGAGCAGCGGGTAATTGCAACATTTGTAGACTCCAGCTCTGTTACCTCCATAACAAAATAATTTTGGTTTAGACTGTACTTTCAAAGCTGTAACAACTGTGAGTTGCTTCCCATCTAAAAAAGGGTTTCTACTAAACATGTTGAATTTTATGTTCTTCACTTTTTTTCTGCAGCTAATGAGGCCTCTCAATGCTTTGGATGAACTTTATCGACTGGTAGGCTCATTTATCAGATCAAAACGCACAGCTGCTTGTGCAAACACAGCCTGCAGCGCCTCTGGAGTTGGACTGCTGTCAGTTTCTTCTGAGCTGTGCGACAGGCTGGGAGCTTGCCACATCATCATGTGCAGCAGCGGAGTGCATCGGTACGTGAGCTTCCCTGCCTTGCTTGCATTTGTTAGTCCACGTGTTAGTTGGTGGTTCTTGTCTGCATATGGGCTGCGTGAAATCAAAACTGGAAACATCAAAAGGATGTGGATGCATTTGGAATAAAATTTTTGATGTTTTCTGGTTTTAGTACTTATATTTTTAGTGAATACTAATTTAGACAAATGAATGCATGCCTACATTTATACCATGGTGACCCAGAATCTTATCCTTCTTGCATTTATATGAACCATATTTGTATTTTAGGTGCAAAAAATGTGCTTCCTTATTCACTGTAGGGATTTGCTTAGAAAGAGCTGAATTCAGAGAGCTCAGTGATACTCTTTTTCTCACTAGCTTGATAGACATTCCACTATTCAGTGCTTCCCATTCCTAGAGCACAGGTCCTATGGGCTCCCTGCTGCCCTGGGGATGCTGCTGCCTTCCTCCATTGGACAAAATCATTGATGGTCCAGGAGCTCACAAAATATGCTTGAGAAGACAAGGTAAAATCTTTGACAGGTTCTATTCAGGTGGTTTGTCTTAGACAACTGTGCTCTGTCTGGGCAGCCAAGAAAGGTGTGTGAATTTAATGTAGTTTCATCAGACTTAGGCCTGAAATGAGAGTGGGTACCCCCAAGTCAAGTCCCTCTTCATAATCATCTCTCATATTCATGATGAAGTAAACCCTTATAGATGGAAAACAGGGCCAGAATTTTAGTCCTCATCTTAATCTGAGTAGGGAGCAAGTTTTCTCTCGCAAGACTTAGTTCTTAGTAGTGGGCCATTTAGATTTTGAATATGGTGTTTACTTATTTATTCAAATTTACTTGGTGCTTAATTGATGCCAAAGTTTGCAGATGGTGCTTCAGAGCCTGCTGTGTAACATCATAAAGTGGGGCATTCGTCTTGGAGACATAAGGCATGAAGAACGAACAGAAAATAGCTAACAAAAACATAATAATAATGGAATAAGATTAAAAACAATACACACACCAAAAAACCCCAAACTATAAAAGATTCAAGTGGCCTAGAAAAGTTACAGCTGAAGAATGAATTCACAGGAACAATATGTCTTTGAGATGGTTAGATCTGGAAACTTTCCAAGGGGACGGTGATGTTTGAATGGGGGTTTGATGGATTGGGTTATAGAAGTGGAAAGGGGAGAGGGGCCATTCAACCCTCTCATCTGTGAAATTCCTTTTGACTTGGTATGGCCATTCACTAGTTTTGAAGCCCCACACAGCACTGTCTTGCTTAAGAAATGTAACATGACTATTCCTCTGAAAGGGCCATTACATCCTTGTAATTGAAAAAATAGCCTGAAATTTTTCCCTTTTTTTTTTGGCGGCGGGGGGGGGTGGTTACTGAGGATTGAACTCAGGCGCACTTGACCACTGAACCACAGTCTAAGCCCTATTTTATATTTGATTTGAAGACAGGATCTCACTGAGTTGCTTAGCTCCTTGCTGTTGCTGAGGCTGGCTTTGAACTCAAGGTCTTCCTGTCTTAGCCTCCTGAGCTACTAGGATTACAGGCATGTGCCACTGCACCCAGCTTCCCTTCATTTTAATTGCTGTGTACCTTGTGCACTATTGCAATCTTACTAAGAGCTTAATTGAAAATGTTATCTGCAACTGAATGGATCATATATTATTTTATAACCTTTTAGGAACAGAGAATTGATCTTGCCTCTGATAAATTCATGTTCATTCAGTCTGTTTCCATTCTTTCATTCATTCATTATTCATTCAATGGCCATTGAGCATGAATTAGGTGCCAATGCTGATCTCTCGAGGTGCCAATGCTGATCTAGTGGCTGGGGTTACTATATTGAAAAAGTGAAGTCCTGACTTTCATATAGTGTGCATGGCATTGGGAGAAAATAGATGATAAATATGTGATATGGCAGGTGGATAAATACCCAAAAACACGGAATCAGAGTAGTCAAATGGTGACAAGATGGGAAGAGAGGTATAACTTCTGATAGGAGTGGGAGGGTTTCATTAAGTGAAATGAAGAAGTGAGTTGTGCTCACATCTCAGAGAAGGAGTTTTCCAGCCAAGGAGAGCAGCAGTGCAAACAGCCTACTGTATTCAGAGAACAGTAAGGAGTTCATAGTGGCATCACCTGGACTGTGTTCTTATCTCACCCTACTTTAAGGTCAGAGTTATCCTTAGATGCACCTGGTCAAATAGGAAGACACTTTCAACTTTAATCTCTGAAAATATACTCTTACCTCTGCATTAATTTATGAAAAGTTAATATGATTAAACCTTCCATTTAATGCTGGAGAACATGATCATATTGTGCAGATTACTCTCACAGATGTTCTATGACAATTTTAGAATTTGACAGGTGTGGTATAAGAAACATGTTAATGTTACACAACTGTTTAATATTGCTATTCATTGATTGGCATGTTAGAATGTTAAGAAACATTGATTTTTAAAATAGTTTGACTTTATTCCTATTATTCAAAATAAATAGACCTTTTGTTAGTTAATTTCAGAAGATATTTACTAAGATGTAGGCCCTAATGCACCATAAAAGGTGCTGAACTTAAATCTATTTGAAAATTCTTTAATTTTCCTATTATGTAGAGTAAAATGGAACTTGAACATAATCTTTCATTTTTCAGTGAAGGCTTTGCTTAGATTTTTTTCAGAAGATAAAATTTGTGCTAATTTATATTGCAATTCAAAATCCCACAGAAGACTGTTCCTAAAATAATCCTTTAGTAGTGCTAATGCAGACAGCTAGAGAAGAACCCTGCAAGCAACATGAACCTCAGAGGTTATCCTCAGGTTCCAACTGAGGGGAGAGATTCACAGGGTTAATTAGTACAAACACTTCCAAAGTTGTCTTTATACTTTACTTTTAAAATTAAGATGAGAAATAATCAAAAGTATGATATTCACATTAGATTGTCAACTTTCTGCCTTTTCTGGTTTTACTGGGCAAATGAAGAGGACCAAAAATATTTTTTTAAAGAATTGAGTTATATTGCATATATTTGATATTAAAAGAAAGAATGTGGATTTCAGATTAAAAGGCAGATTTAATTATCATTAATGTCCAGATATTTTAATGTCAGCTTGGATCAAATGCCAGAGCTGTATAGAATAGCATATATAGAAATAGAATATAAAATTAGTAGGAATAGAATTCATGATGAACTATTAAAATAATCTCTTCATAGTACTTATCCTGGCTTCTCTCTCTGTTATGGTTTGGACTTGAAATGTGCCCCAAGGCTCATGTGTTGAAGGCTTGGTCAATGCATCAGTGTTCAGAAGTAGGGCTTTTAGGAATGATTGGATCATGAGGGCTCTGGCCTCATCAGTGGATTAGTCCATTGATAGCTGAATGGACTATCAAGAGGTAGTGGAAAATGTGGGACATGGTTCATGTCCAAGAAAGGCATTTCTTCTTTTCCCCTTTCTCTTCTCTGTCTCTCCTTCCTGGCTGCTATGAGCTGAGAAGCTTTTCTCCACCTCACCTTTCTGCTGAAATGTTCTGAGTCACCTCAGGCTCAAAAAAATGGAGCCAGTTGACCATGAACTGAAACTCTGAGCCAAAATAATTTTTTTTTTCTCCTCTGTTTTCCTTGGGTATTTGTCACAGCAATGAAAAGCTAACACAATTCCCGGAAATAATTCTTTACATACAGTACAAGTCAGCTGATCCAAGTCTCCTGTCCGTGCTCTCTTTAGCTGTTCATTTCCATTTAGGATCTCCATTGCTGTGGAATAGGGAAGAAGGATAGGAGTGATCTCTTTTTAATACCAGGGTTTTGCCTTTGAAGCAATATAAACATGATTAAAAGGTGATTCAGCAAATAGAAAAATTTTCAGAATTTTCTATTTTGATCTACCTTTTTTTTTCATTTTGCAGCCACTCACAGCTTCTCTATTAAATAATAACACATTTGAACATTGTTTTAGTAGTATAGTGTCTTAGACAGTTTGTGCTGCTATTACAAAACACCACAGACTGGGTAATTTTAAAGAATAGAAATTTATTTTTTACGTTTATGGAGGCTTGCAGTCCAGGATCATGCAGCAGGTTCAATATCTATCTGTTCAGGGCACCTGTCTCTGCTTCCAAGATGGCACTTTGAACACTGTATCTTCACATGGCAAGAGGTACAGAAGGGAAAAGAGGAGGAAGGCAACCTGCCTTTCTTTTCTTTCTTTTTATTTATTTTTTGTTTTATTTTGTTGTTGCAGGTTTTTGTTCTCTTATACTTGGGATTAAACCCAAGGATGCTTTACCACTGAGCTACTTCCCCAGCCCTTTTTTATTTTTGATTTTGAGACAAGGTCTTGCTAAGTTGCTTAGGGAATAAACTAATTTGAGGCTAGCCTTGAACTTGTGATCCTTCTCCCTCAGTCTCCTGAGTTACTGGGATTACAATCATGTACCATTGTGTCTGGCTACCTTGCACTTATTTGATAAGAATGCTAGTCATCTTGAGAACTCAACCCTCATGACTTAATCACCTCCTAAAGGTCCTACCTCTTAATATTATTACATTGATGATTGTCTCAATATGTGAATTTTAGAGGACACATTCAAACTGTGGTTTAATAATTTGTTTTATGCTCATAGCAATTATATATGTCCCAGATGTGCATAATGTAGACTCTGAATGTGTCCCCCTAACTTAATCCTTAAAACAATGGCATGTGAAGTGGGGCTGAGTAAGAGGTAATTAATCATTACCTCTCTGATAATTCATGTCATTATCATGGGAGTGGATTGGTAATCACAACTATGTGTTGTTAGTGAATTAGGGCCCTTCTTGCTCTCTGCTTTCATGCTTTCTTGCCCATCTGCTACTCATCCTAGGATGATGCAGCAAGAAGGCTCTCTCCTTAGACTTAGATGCAGGCCTCTCAACCTTAGACTTCTCAGCTTCAACTATAAGAATGAAATCTGTTCTTTATGAATTACCCAGTCTTAGTATTCTGTTACAGCAGCACAAAAGGAACTA